ACTTTGTCGGTAGGAGCGGCGTTTTCTCGGTCCAAACCCCCAAAGCAGGCAGCAGCTATAGACATTAGACCCGTGGTCTGGTCTATTGTACATGTATATCAAGGTCTGAATGTCTGAATGATCAGACAGATGTCCTGAACCCTGAACCCTAAACTTCCGAGGCCCTAAACCCTAAACCCTAAACTTCCGAAGCCCTAAACCCGAGGGTCTATAAAACCCAACAAGATCCATGTCATGCTGGCCTCCAGGGTGTAAGAGCCGCTGTAAAAGATGCAGGTTAACCGGATACCGCACGACCCAAGACCGTCGGCAGAGAGCCTTCGTCCCATTGGTGGGGTTTGTTTAGGGGTTAGGGGTTTAGGGTTTAGGGTTTAGGGTTTAGGGTTTAGTGGGGTTTTGGGATATAGGGTTCCGGGTGCAGGTTTAGGGAACAGGATTCAGGCTTTACGATTTAGGGTTCAGGGTTTAGGGATCAAGGTTCAGGGTTTAGGGGGTTAAGGTTCAGGGTTTAGGGTTCAAGGTTCAGGGTTTGGGGCTCAGGGTTTAGAGCTCAGGGTTCAGGGTTTACGGCTCAGCACTACTACTACTACTACTACTACTACTACTACTACTACTACTGCGTTCAAGGTTTAGGGTTCAGGGTTGTGCTAGTTTGTGTTGTTTGCGCATTGGAGCTTCTAGAGTCGATCTGCTTAGGGCTTTGGGTTCTGAGTTCCAGATATCGGTAGTTTTCTAAATTAGGGCCCCTTTTAGGGTAGCTGTGTTTAATGAGGGTGCCGTACTACTTTGGGGGACCTACACATGGACCCCAATTTAGAGAACTACCCACATTTCAATTCCAGCACCAGCACATATTGGATCCTAATCTCATCCTGAGTCCAAAAGCCTTCACGATAATCAGCAAACGTGGACGGGCCCATCCCCGTAGTACTTTGAGGATCAGTATCCCAGATGGGCTTCAAACCTACTGATTGCTGTAGTGTGTTGTCCTGAACTTCCTAAACTTTGGTTCAGACGACTTGATGGCTACGCTACCACAAACGGGTTGTGGTAGTTCCAGTTAGAGCTAAGCTCACAGATCCTAGCCCCTGAGAAACCCATCTGGAAAACTGGAACCCTAAATTCTAAACCGCCCTGCACACCCCTAAACCCTAAACCCTGAACCCTAAACCGTGTAGGCCTTTAACCACAAGTCCTCATGAGCATCCGAAACCGTTCGGCTCCTGAACCTTAAGATGTAGGTTATACCTGGGGCTTCAAGGGCGAAACCCTATATTTCACTTATAAGAACCCCAAACCTACTTTTCTGTAGGGTCCCTATAAATCCCATATTAGGGTTTTATAATAACAACTACAACAAAATGGGTTTTGGGTTCTTAAGGTATGGCTCGGGGATACAATCCTGCACCGCAAAGGATGAATCAAATTTTTCAACTCTAACCCTCGGGTTAACCCTAAACCCTAAACCCTAAACCGGGTTAAGGGTTTAGGATTTCGGCCCTATAGGCCCTAAATTCTGAACCCTTGTAGAGACTTACACCCTAAAGCCCGAACCCGAAAATCCTGTATATCCTATCCTCCGTTGATATTCCCGCGGGGCGACATCGCTGATGTGTTGAAACAGCTCGGTTTAGGGTTTATTGTTTCAGGCTTTGGGTTCAAGGGTTTAGCGGTTTAAGAAAAGGTAAAGAAAAGGTTTAGTTTAGGCTTGAGGGTTTAGGGTTCAGGGTGTCGGTTAAGGACATTGACGCAGAGACTCCAATCCCAGGCCAAGGGCTCCTTGCTAAGGGCCTACGGGTCCATGTAACCCAAAACCGCGTTTTAGGGTTTAGGGTGTACGCGGTCGGGGATTCAGAGGTTTAGGGCTTCGGGTGCACGTACCTTGGCAAATTCTCTTTGCTTTCACAGGTGCTGCAAGGTCAGAGTATATTCTGTATACATGGACCCGTTGGGGAGTATTTCTCGGAACACTATCTGCAACAGCGTTTAGGTTGTGAGGCGTCGACGTGGAGACTTCAACATCCCTAGATTACCTGCCAATTATAAGGATCCCAACTAATTGACGATGGCAAGGAATATTTCCACCTGGGACCCGAAGCTGTACACTCCATATGAACGAGACCCTCGTGTGAAAACGAATCTAACTTCCCTAGTATTCGGAGCAAGGCTCAAGGCTGTGCCACGGCCGCCCCTAAGCCCTGAGCCTAAACCCTAAACCCTATAACTTTAAACCCTAAACCCTAGTGAAGGGTCAGTATTCAACGATCCCCCTCTACTCACCAAGGTACATTACACTAGTTGCTTAGTTTCGTACCCTAAACCCTGAACCCTAAACCGAAAAAACAGAGGGATTATAAATACCCATAGGCCCTGAAGTAGTTCCATTTTGGGGTTCACATATATATATATATATACACATAAAATATATATATATATATATATATATATATAGAATCCTATAAGGTAATCCCAAAAAGGACCTACTACGGGGCCTATGGGTAGTTTTAAAATTTCATGCGCACCCAGGGAGGCCCATACCCAGACCCTAAGGCAAGGAATCATGTAGGGGCCTTAGTAAGTAGAATAGCGGGGTAGGGTTTAGGGTTTAGGGTTTAGGGTTTAGGGTATATTATATTATATGTATAAGAAAGGAACCCCCAAAAATAGTATAAGAAAGGAACCCCCAAAAAATTGTATAGGTAATGATTCAGTCACCTATGTTAGGTTACAACCGATCGAAGGTATCGGGAATCAGTTATCAAGGTCAAACTGACTTCTCCGCTCTACCCAACTCCTGCTGAATCGTTTCTCTTCGGGAGGTACGACCCGAAGCAAAGCCATGAGTCACATGCTCCAACCCTAAACCCCTGACTTCGAAGTAAACCTGAAACCCTAAAACCCTAGCAGCTCGAACCCTAAACCCTAAACCCCTAAACCCTAAACCCTAAACCCTCGAACCCTAAACCCTAAACCCCTAAACCCGTAAACCCAATCGTCCGAGGCACATCGAAAGCGGCCTACAGCCTCAAGTATGGAGGTGTCGGCGTCCTGCACCCAGACCCACGGGAGGATCCAGAAAGTAGATCTTGAGACGCCGCGATAGGAGGTCCCTGTCAACAAAGCTACCAGTTACCAAGGATTACACACATGACTCATGGGCCCTAAACCCTGAAAAATCAGCCATTGCATAACATTCTTGGAGGCTCAAGAGACTCTTGACGTAGGCTGTAGGTTCAGGGTTTCGGGTTGTAGGGCTTTAGGGGTTTAGGGTTTAGGGTACACGGGTTAAGGGGTTTGGGAGATTAGGAGTTTGGAGTTTAGGGTTTAGGGTGGATAAGCAACCCTAAACCCTAAACCCTAAACCCTAAACACATACCCGAAGACTGCAGAAGCCCATGCCGGGTTGCTGTAGTGCGGGGACAGGTTGCGATAATGGTTACTACAAGGGCTGCTACAAAGCATGGTACTATAAATTCTACATATTGTTACTATAAAGTTTACTCGCTTGGCTGCAACTTGGCTTCTCTATAGGGATCCTTCGCTCACGACTGTTGAAATTATATTGGGCATCCAACTAACCTGGCCCGTTTAGTAAGTAAAGGCTGCGGCGGCTGTGGAGTCTAACTTACAAACGGGATGCGACAGATCGTCCCTAAACCCTAAACCCTAAACCGTGGTTCGTCGGCAGTCAGTTTCGCAACTGGACTATGGGTGTTTCAGCAATGAGGGACGCTTGTCCTGAACTCGCATCCCGGAGAAACCCTACCCCAAGCGTCCGTCCGTACCCAAATAACAAAGTATACTTTGGCATTCAAGTAATCTCTGTGTAGGTGCTTTGAGGGCCAAAACTACAGGTTAAACTTTGGGAAATATATATATATATATATACATATATATATATATAGGGGTTATAGTACCCAAAAAAGGTTAAAGGTCACGTACTCTACTGCTTTTGGCCCTATCAGAGTAGTGCAGCCTCCTGCTAAAAGGACAGCAGGGAACGCTGGTTCTCGCAAAACTTCCCCTTAGGCTGGGGAAGTAGAACAAGTAGGTCGGCCGTGTAAAGCCCTTGACACATGTTCGTCAGGAGGAGGATTCAATGAACATGTGAAATGTCCCAAAGACCTACCTCGATAAGGTTTTAGGGTCTACAAATGTAGCACTTGTACCAAACGGGAATATTGGTTTCTATAGACCCTGCACTACTGTTAACCCCTATTTCTTACGCAGCGGGGCTTGCTGACGACGGGGTCATGCCGTCTGGCGACTCACGTGGCTCTTCGACACTAGGCAGTGGTCGGGGCAATATCGGCAGTTTATGACATGAGTAGAGGAGGGACAAAGCGACAAAGCAGCGGCGGAGGCGGTAGTCATGCTCGCCCCGGAGCCCTGAACCCTCTATAGACCAAAACCCTAAACTCCGTGACCCCGAAACACTAAACCAAAGCTGGTTGAAGGAGGATGACCCAAATGTTCTCGCACTTCTCGGAATGCCGGCCCTTCCTGTGTCAGTCTGCGTGCAGCACCGGAAACAATTGGTAGCTTGGCGGGCTTCTTAGGGTATAGGGCGGAGGGTCTAGGGCAGTTTCGGGCTCAGGGTTTCAGCCAAAATCCTGACGGTGTATTCCTTTTCTAAACACTGACAGAATGAAGTAATGAGAAACCTTCACGCCTGAAGCATACAAATATTCCGAATGCTCTAAACTAGACAAGGAACAGGAGAAACCCGTTTTTAAAGCCATAGGTCCTCGCGATTTAACGTTCCGAACAAGCTGTTCAGAGGGAATCGGCGCAAGACCTGGTTGAGCTTGCAGGGTTTAGGATTTTTAGGGTTCGGAGTTTAGGGTTTAGGGCTTCAGGGCTTTAGGGTTTAGGGTTGGGGGCGTTAGGCTTAGGGCTTAGGGCTTTATAGGGTTTGTAACATAGGGGCCTTGATGATAGACACCGGGCATTGGAGTGTATGGGACTGCACCACTCCTTTTTCAGGGTAACCCTAAAGCCTAAACCGTGTCAGGCCCCTTGTATTATGGGACTTGCTGCATTGTTGCAAGACACGGGCATTGAGCCTGCAGGTAGGGTACACCGGAAACCCTAAATTCCATGTTTTACCTTTGGGTACATGGACACCTACGGGTCTTCATTGGGCGTACCATCCGCGCCAAGCCTGGGAGGTTGACCGCCCGTGGGATAAATTTGCTTGGAAGACCAGCTAGCAACTTTGTCACTAATCACCCTATTTGTCCGAGAGCATATGAACTTCCTAAAACCCCAAATCCTACAGTCCTACAGCGTGATCTGACAATCTGAACCACAAGTCCTGACAACCTATACCCAGACTGAGGCATAGCCAAGTGCCCAACAACAATAATAAGCCCCAAGATTGCAGGGCTGCACGCGAACAGCCCGACAAGAGGTAAAATGACCCGAAGTGCTCACATAGACTAGAAGGAGGATCTTATATTAGCGGCACAAGGATCCCTATCAAAGGATTCCAGGCAATCTCATCAGAACACGAATGCAGGAGCCGCTGCAGGAAGAAAAGCTATAGTATGGGGCCTATAATTACCAGTATTTTGGGGAGGTTCCTGATTATACGCATAATACAATGGGCCCCAAAACCCTATTCTATGCAACGGACAGATCTCTTCCGGGCGAAGCCTACGAACCTTAAGCCCATGATGCGGACTCCCGGCTAATCACTTTTATCACCCGAAACCCTAAAGCCGAAAGCTCCCAAACAAGCCGTTGATGTGCTATTGTGCCTAACGGCGCAACACTACCACTGAAGAGGCCTTGTCCAGTTTTGCCATCCGGCTTGGCCTGGGTGTGCAGGGTTCAAGGATTTCTTTTCTGTAAAGTGCAATGGGCCTTTCACACAATTCTTGCAGATTTAAGGTTTCGCGTGTGGGAAAGCTTAAGTTTGAGGTTGAGGTTTAGTCGACTTTCTGACACTCGGCCTTTCAAGGGTGGTGGTAGTAGTGTAGTAGTAGCA